ATATTTTCTAGGGACCTAATTCCACCAAATAGTGATTTTTATTATGTCTTAATTATTTTTCAGAGGAATGTTTCATTTAGATCACTTTCTAGTACCCCAACTCATCATAAGATGATAGCTTTTTTTATTTATCACTTATTTCTTATACTTATGCTTAATTCTTTTGGAAAGCTGTTTTTGGGCCATGTAGACTCTTGTAAAATTGTAATCATTCCAAGATGAGCATGTATTGTCACTGCACACAATTTTATCCAGAGGAAGAGGAAATAGTTTGGTATTCAAGTTTTTCCATGGATTAAAAACTGCACAAGAACCTAGCAACCTTGGAGGAAACCCAGCTTATTTTTGCTTTAATGCAACCAGAAGATTGCAAATCAATACTTAGCATTAATGTTTTAACTGAGAATTAACATCACCATAACTGGAAGTGAGGAGGAGCATCCTGATGTTTAGGAGAGGGCTAATTGGTTAGGGAGGTCATTACTCTGAAGAGCACAAACACTGGAAGGGCTGGAAGGGAAAAACACAAATCATTTGTTTCCGTGGGCAAGGACACACAGTAAATAGCTGAATTTGTGACCAACTATAATTTGCTTCTAGAGCCAGTGACTCTGGCAACACTACACTTTGGATTTATAGCAAAGCACACAAGTAGCAGTGACTTTGAAAACAAAGGATAAAAGAACCAAGGGAAAAGTTCCTAGTTCTTAGAGATCTGTTCCTCATTAGAAGGACTTCAGGACTTTCCCCTGAATCTAAAAGCAGTATGCACTTTCCTTGCTATTCCCAGCATGTCCCTCAGTCCTTACTCCTCAAGGAAGCCAATGATATTTGAGTCTGGGTTATCAACAATCCTTTATTTTTTTTGCCAGGGAATTTCAAACCAATATATTCCCAGCCTGAACAATGCAAATGGATTTCCTTTCTATTTGGTAAAAATTTTTAAAAAATTAATTGTATTATTTTTTATTTGTTTCCGTGTCTTGAAAGTTCAATCACTTCTCCAGATTCTCCAGAATAAACGTTAGAAAATACCTCTCCCCAGCAGGACCTTACCCATCAGTACCACCTTAAGGCACTTGCACCTCCTCCATCTTCAGAGGAGTGTGCTGTTCTGATTTATCTTCTCAGTGAAGCAGAGGGAATTTAGAGGAAAGGGGATTTCTACAGGAATACTCAGTCCCACAAATAAGTTCTTCTCCGTTCGTTCCCCTTTTCATTGAAAGTGAAAAACTCTGTTCACCAGGAGTCCCCATGTTCCTGTTCCCCTATGCATGGCCAGAACCAAGAGAGGACCCCGCCAGCGAGGTGCCTTCTTCTCTGTCCCGCAGCCCGCAGTCCCTGACCTTCACCCCACTGTCTGTGCAGAACTGGAGTTCAAAGCAGCAGCCTCAGCAATCACTCTCCTTGCCTGGGGGGGCCAAAGACCCCTTCTTTGCTCGGGAGGAAGGACTTTTGTGAAAGCAGAGTTTGAAAAGCCCCAGCACTGTCATGGTCAAGATCACCAACACTACTACTGCTATGGTGACAAGGATGAAGACCACGGTGGAGGAAGAGTCGAAAGTCTGGGGATTGGCAGAGGAAGCTGTGGAATTAAACTGGGGAATCACGCTTCCTGATGGGGTGATGGTGGCCTTTGACTTGACTTGAGGGGACATTTGAAAGTTAGACATAGTGCTCTGTGCTCCCCACGGAGGAATCTCAGGAATAGTTGTTGCCGAACTGCCTTGTTCAGGGACATGGGGTATCTCTCCTGGCTTCTCGTGGACCCTGGGTGACCACGTTCTCTTCGGTATAGGGCTTGTTGCAGCGGCCGGTGGGAACCTGGTGGGCACTATGGTCCCCCCAGGGGCCAGCTGTCCTTCCCCACTGGTCACACAAGAGCGTCCGTCGTTGCCCAGCTGGAAGCCCGCGGCACATTCGCAGGCAAAGCCTCCCAAGTCGTCGAGGCAGTCAGGCAGCTCCGCGCATTTGCCAGCTCGGAGGTACCTCCCGGGGCAGGGACAGAGCACGGCGCCGGAGGGGAGTCCGTCCCAGCGCAAGCCCATCTCGTCCGCGATGCAGGTAACTGAGATGGGGAGCTGCCCCTGGCAGAGCGCACTCACCTTGGTCCCAGGGGGACTGAAGTCCAGCGCGGCGCTGTACAGCTGGAAGGGCGCTCGGTAGCTCAAATTAGAGGCGGCCCCGGGACGCGGCGCAGGGCACAAGCCCTCAAACTGGTACTTGCACAGGTAGCCGTTGGCGCGCAGGTGACACAGCATCTCTTTCCAGCCTGCAGGCTCAACTCCCCCAGTGGCCTGGAGTGCGGCGCATCTCCGTGCGGTGCAGGAGCGCTGGGGCTCCTCCACCCACTGCAGCGTGTCGCTTTCGGATCCGCTGACGTCGGAGGACTGCCAGGAGAAACCCCTCAAAGGCTCGTTCTCCAGGGTGCAGTGGGAACGCTTGCGCTCCAGAGAGACCCAGAACAGGAGGTCTTTGGAGCCTTCTCGGGGCCCTGGGCCTGCCCGCAGGAGCGCGAGCACGGCGCTCAGCTCAGCACCCCCGTGCACGGTGCTGAGCGCCCCGCCGCGCAAGTTGCAGGCCTCCTCGGCCGCCAGCCGCTTGATGGTCGCGTGGTGCAGACTGTAGCAGGCCCCCGAGGCCGAGCAGCCCGCGCGGTCGGCGGTGGGGTGCTCGCCCCCTCCCGGCTCGGGCCAGAGCGCCTGCCAGAGGAGGCACAAGGTGAGCGCCGGCCTCATCTTGGAGGCCCCGCACCCACTGCACAGCTGCTCCCAACTTGGGTCTGTCCCTCTCCAGGGCGCCCAGCTGTCTCTGGAGCGCGGTCTCCGCCCTCTGCAGCTGTCTCACTCCATTCCGTCCCCTCTCCCCTCCCTCTGCTCTCACTCTCGCTGCACTTCCCCTCCCACCCGCCCCAACTCCAAGAAGCCCCCGCCAGCTTCCCTTAGGCCGCGACAGGAAATGTGTCGGGAGCTCTGCCAGGCCTCGAGCGCAGCCCTGATTTATTCTGGAGTCGGGAGCACAGCTGGGGCCAAGGCACAGGGAACACGGTCGACTAGAAGGTCAAACACCCTGCTTAAAGCAGGAGAAGAAAGTCGCCACTGGGATGAAGTGTGTCATTTTCCCTGCTCAGAGAGTTTCAGGATCTCGGATCCCAGAACATGTTGGTGAACTTCTGCAGGAAGGACTGGAGAAAAGGAATTTGCGTATAAGCCCGCGCCCTCCTTTTGTGTTTCTGTCCGGAAGAGTGGAATTGGCGTCAGAATAATTTGTAGACAGCTCCAGTCTTCCGGAGGCCTGCGCTTGTGGACGGGGAAAAAAATCTTGTGAGCGATGTTAGCACCTCCCTTCCCTACCAGAGGAAGCATTATTCAACCTCAGATCCTTCTGGGGTCTGCTTCTCTGTGCTTGTCAAGAGATTCAGGCTGTGCCAATTGCTAGTCAAAGAATTTAGAGTTCTTTTGGGTATTTTAAATGGGAAATTCTACTTCAGTCAGCACTTTCTTTAAAAGGTTTTCACTTGTATTCGTTTCTCTTCGAAATGGGCCATATTGGTTCATTCAGGAAAGGAAATGTATTTCTAGGCCTAAACAAAAATAATGGCCATAGATCTTAACTGTTAGGTTGTTAGCTTTCCTTACCACTCTATTTGATTCATAGATTCTTCAAGGTTATAGGTTCTATGTAAATGAGTTCGTGGCCTTATTAATATTTGAGAACAACTACTGCAAATGTATATCACAATGGTAAGTACTCTTCTGACTTAATGAACAACATGATGAAGTTGTAATAAAAAATAAAAAACTTTGAAAGAAAATTCAACTTTCAGCTCTTTCATTCAAATTGCTCTCTCTACAGAGGCAATGCTGACCATATTCTATGCCTCTTGGAGGTACTATAAAAACTTATTCTTTGGTGATCATTATAGAATTAGTACAATCCCCCATTGCCAAGTTTGTAATCAAGAAGTAACAGAGAAATGATATATGTACATAAAAAGACTGTTATAACGCAAATGCCTAAGTTCTAAGGTGTAAGTAATGTTCATCCTACGACTCAGATATTTTTTCAGAATTACCTCTAGAACCAGTTTATGAGCCACACTTAAAAATCAGTCCTGTTACTTTAAAGTCACACAATCACACAAAATTACACATACCCTACACACTTTTTGTTGTTTGTTGACAGAGGGATTCTGTTGTTGCTTGTTGACAAATGACAATAAAGGTGAGACTTGTGGATTAGTTAACATCATCCAGCAAATAAATGAACACAATACAGCTGTATGGGGGGTAGGGAGTGAGTGGGTTGCAGATATTCTTCTTTGTTCAAGTTTGGCATTTTTAAAATGATATCAGGTCCATAGATCATGGGGTTCTTTAGGGCCTAGTCCTGAGTCCTCTTCTGTTTTCACTGGGTAGTTTCTCCCCTGGATAATCTCATCTCATGCCATCCTATGGTTTTGGATATCATGTCTATGCCAGTGATGCTCAAACTTATATCCACTCTCCATTCTTCTTGACTGAACTCTAAATTTATATATCCATCATTCAGTTAATATTTTCACTTGGGTATGTCATATGTATTTCAAATTCTCCTTTGCCAAATGGAACTTTGGTTCTTCCCTTCCAAGCCAGCTTCTTGTCTTGCCTTCAACATTTCAGTAAAGGGTGTGTCTATCCCCCAAGATGATCACCTCCAGTTCCCTTTGCTTTTATAATGATCAGGTTTTTTCATTTGTATTTGACAGAAACCCTACTCAAACTAGCTAAATAGAAAAGGGAATAGTACGATTCACATCATTGGGAAAAATTCTGGAGTATTTCTGGTGGTCAAATAGAGTACTTTCCAAACCACAGCGACTAGGAGATTCTCACACCGTAGGATATGTCTCATTCTCTTTCCTTTTCTCTTTTCTTTGCATGGCTAGATCCTTTTCTGCTTCTTGTGGGCTTTCTCCGGACACCCTTGAGCAAGACCATTGGTAGTTCTCATGTTATACTCTTATAAAATTCTACTGAAGAAGTCATCTCCTGTAGCTCCATTAGGAAAATCCTAAGAAATCCTATTTCTCTCTCACCATCCTTCAGCTTTTGATCTCCTAGCCTTAAAGTATAGATTAGGTCCCCCACTTCATTTGAGCTCATGGACTAATAAGCATTTTTCTTTTTCTTTCTTTCTTTCTTTTCTTTTTTTTTTTTTTTTGAGACAGAGTCTCACTTTGTTGCCTGGGTAGAGTGAGTGCCATGGCATCAGCCTAGCTCACAGCAACCTCAAACTCCTGGGCTCAAGGAATACTCCTGCCTCAACCTCCCAAGTAGCTGGAACTACAGGCACGTGCCACTGCACCCCAGCTAATTTTTTTCTATTTTTAGTAGAGGTGGGTTGTCTCTTTTTCTCAGGCTGGTCTCAAACTCTCAGTCTCAAGCAATCCTCCCGCCTCGGCCTCCCAGAGTGCTAGGATTACAGGTGTGAGCCACCGCACTGGCCCCAAACTTCTTTCTTTATAGCACTATCACAAATGTAAGCATACAGTTAGTTATTTGTGTAATTTAACACCCGTGTCCTCCGACACCTTGCTACTCAAATGCCAGCACCATTGGCACTAAAGGGAGTGTATTAGAAATGCAGAATTTCTGCCCTAACCCAGACACACTGAATTATAATTTGCATATTAACAAATTCCTCATGTAATTTGTAGGCACATTAAAAGTTTGAGAAGCAGCACTCCACTAGACCATATTTTCTTGAGGACCGCAGTTGTGTTTGTCTTCTTTGGCATTTATCCCAAGTGGTCTCTAATAATGTAGGTGGTATATAGTTAGTTCTCAAGAAATAACAGTCGAACCAACACACACAGAGTGCACATGTGTGCAGACACACACACAGTACACATAATATGATAAACTGCCAGCGATTAAGAAAAAGGCCATATGTTAGTAATTGAACACATGGAATTTTCTAGCTGTTTATTAAGAATCAGGTCATTATTCCACAGAGACAGCAGTGTTCTAAGCCCATCGACTAGTGTGTTTCCTGATAAATTAATCTGAAGTACTATTAATACTTCAGGATCTCTTGTTGAGAAACTCTTAGTATAACAAAGTGGGAAGCATTTTATTTAGGTTTTTGGCCAGCTTACCATGTCCGATCCAGCCCTAGCATCATGCTATGATCTGGTCTTGGAGGATTTGTATGGTGAGTGCCTTAGGTCTGAAAGTATGCCTTTTCTATTGGTGTCCACAGAATTTCCAATTCAGAGTTGGAAGAGGGAGGGAAAGAAATCACAGCTACTTAAATTCAAATCCTATTAGGCTTATCTGTTAACACTTTGTAAGTACTAGGGATAATCAGCAGTTACCTTAGCATTTACCTTGTAGAGGCAGTGGAGCTCTGCAATTATCGTTTGCCAGACTTAATATATGGTTCATTTTAAGCCCCATGTATCTGACAAATCCACACATTCCTGCACAACAGATTCTATGTTTGCTTGTCTATTCCAGATGTGTGACTTATTCTTACTATTACAAGGAATTTCAAATCTGATGCATCAGGAGATTTTTGCTTGATCTTCAGATTTAGCATCAATATTTTTTGTTTTAAAACAGTAGTGATTTTGGTAAATCTATTCAATAAAATTGAATTTCATATATCTTTTTGGTAAACTATCTCTTTGTTTTGTACTGAAGTCACATAATATGATATGATTTACTACAGTGGAGAGAGAAGGAAAAGAGCTGCTTCATAAATATACTATAGTTACAGTATACCCATATCTGTCTATGAAAAAATTGAAGATAATTATTATTATATTTTTGCTAAATTACACCTTTTGTGAATGGTCTTACAGTGGGTTTGGCTTTACAGTTTATTGACAAAAGGAATACTTTGGACCAACTTTCTTTTGACACCTCATATTTCATATAGGAATGCACAATCTTAAATGCATTTGCGAGTATGTCATTGTTTAATAACCCTTCTGTGAATAATTTCACATGATCAGATAGATGCTAATTAGAAATTTAACTGGGGGATTCTCTTGAGCATTTTAGTTTTTCCATTCTTCTATTTAACAGGGCCACCCAGTAGGGACCCAATGAGCACTTCACAATTTTCAAAATTGTGGTAAGAAACACAAAACGTAACAGAGAACAAGGAGGGAGTTTAGAAATACACTGTTCCTTGCAAGTTGGTGCCTGGAGAGTTCTTAGAACATATCTAAATGTACATTTAGAGTCGGAGGGGAGACACAGTGGTCTCTTATGTGCTTTGGATCTTCTCCCATTGGCATCACCACTCTCAGCCAGGAATATGTAAATCCCTGCCCGCTTATTCCTGGAGCCTCCCTGAGTCATAGTGGGACAGTGGAGACAGTGGAGTTAGTACAGAAAAGGTTTCACCAGCAGAGCAGGAAATATTCTTTCCTACTCTGTATTAGTAGTATTAAGAAAAGGTTTTCCTGGGTACCCTTTGTTAAGGGATAGGCACACCCTACATGATTTTGCCACACCTAGGAATCTCAACCCAGTGGTGAGGGGGCAACTCTTCTAGGCCTTCCCTGAGTCTCCCTTCCTGTTACAGGCAAGCTGCTTTTTGGGATTAGAAAAGGTGGGGGAAAAGAACTCAATTTGCTGGGCTTTCGGAATAAGTGACTGTACATATATGCTATTTGTCAGCCTAAAATGTCAGGCTAAACTGTCTCCCCCAGTCTTTTCTCTCCAAATCTTCTCAACCTGGGAACAATAGGAATACTTTACTCCATCTGGATGAAAACTCAGGGCAGTGATAAAGTTAGAATGGGTTTGCTATCCAACCCCCATTCTCT